AAAAAAAAAAAAAAAAAGATGAGACAGGAATCATAAAAGGATAAAGCTTAGGAGCACATGCCAAGGATCCTGTAGTATGTATGAAGTACAAGTGAAGTCTTGTGAAGACCTCAAGGACAATATGATTTAACCTTAACCCCTTATGTAACGCATGATGGTGAAATGATCTGCTCTCTAATCACTGATCACTTTGCTTCCCTGAAACACACACACACAGAAATGCTCATCTTCCCTCTAGGTCAGAGTGAGTTTGGAGGTGGGTACCACAGAGAACCAGTAACCTAATAGTCAGCATGGAGTAGGGTGGAGTTGGTGAGATACTGTTTTGGATGCTACTGTTGAAAGTTTGAGGCTTGGCGCCTGTGGCTCAAGTGGCTAAGGCGCCAGCCACATACACCTAAGGTGGCGGGTTTGAATCTAGCCCAGGCCTGCCAAACAACAATGATGGCTGCAACCAAAAAATGGCCGGACGTTGTAGCGGGCTCCTGTGGTCCCAGCTACTTGGGAGGCAGAGGCAGGAGACTCACTTGAGCCCAGGAGTTGGAGGTTGCTGTGAGCTGTGATGTCACAGTACTCTACACAGAGGGACAGCTTGAGGCTCTGTCTCAAAAAAAAGAAGTTAACTGATCAAAGCATTCTATAGTAGACATATTCCTATCTGACAATGTGAATGTCACTTTCTTTGCATTATTATTATTATTGCTTAATATTTTGTTGCAGCAATCATCTGAGTTCTTTTCTGAATATATTTATCTTCATTCATTCTTTATGAGGGTTTTGTTCTCAGTCCTTATGTTAAATATTGTTATTGTCATTAAATTTAGTCTTTTTAATTCAGTGAAGGCAAAAGTGGAAACCTAATATACATATTTATAAGTAAGAAAAATAAATTTAAAAAAAAAAAGAAAAAAACCCCAAAAATACTGTCAAAAAGATCTTCATCTCACTTCTTTTTCCTAGCCTGGGCCTTAATAGTTAGTCTTATCAAGCTCCTATCTCATTGGATCCTAATATATCCAAATAGGAGACTGAAAGAAAAGAAATACAGGCTCGGCGCCTGTGGCTCAAGGAGACTGGTTTGAGCCCAGGAGTTGGAGGTTGCTGTGAGCTGTGATGTTACAGCACTCTACCCGGAGGGATAGCTTGAGGCTCTGTCTCAAAAAAAGAAAAGAAAAGAAATACAACATCAAAAGAAGATGAGGCAACGGGCAGCACCTGTAGCTCGAAGGAGTAGGGCGCTGACCCTATATATCGGAGGTGGTGGGTTCAAACCCAGCCCTGGTCAAAAACTGCAAAAAAAAAAAAAAAAAAGATGAGACAGGAATCATAAAAGGATAAAGCTTAGGAG